TGTTAATGCAACTTAGGATTGCATTGGCTTCTTTGGCTGCTGCTGCACACAGCTGGCTCATATTTAGCTGGTTGTCCACTAAGACTCCAAGATCCTGCTCAGTTACTGCTATTAAGCCTGGTTTCACCCAGTCTATATGTGTGCTTTTGTTTTTTATTTCCTAAATGTAAGACTTTCATTTTCTCTACGTTGAATCTCATTTTGTTAGATAGGGCCCAGGACTCGAGCAGTGTCTGTTGGGAGGGTCTCTGAGAAGCCCACAGTTCAGCCACAACATATAACAGAGTAGGAGCAGTTTTTGCAGGTCTGGAAACTTAGACAAGGTCCTCCCATACCTCCCCCTGCCTTATGTGCTGGTCCCAGTTCAGGTCAGGAAATGCAGAATCCACCCGCACCCCCAGCTGAGAGGCCTGAGAAGATCAGCCAAGCTCTATCCTTGGGCTGGGGGTGCAGGTCACCTCACCCTGTTCAATGGAGATCGGAGAACTGTGTAAGCCAATGGCGACTCTCTAGGACATGGGTCAGCAGCCTGTGGCTCTGGAGCCGCATGTGGCTCTTTCATCCCTCTGCCACAGCTCCCTGTTGCCAGTCGGCTGCACAATTGATAGGGCTTTTGGTTAGGACAGAGGAAAAAGGACGCTGGACTAGGAGAGACTCTATGGTGGGGAAACTAGACTTCCGGTCAGCAGAGGAAAAAGGACGCCGTGCTAGGAGAAGACTCTATGGTGGGGGAACCACCATAGATTCTGGTTGCCTCCAGAATTGAAGGAGGGGCTTCCAGTTAGGAACTTTGTGGCTTGAGTGTTTAAGGTTGCCAACCCCTGCTCTAGGATGGTGAACAGCAGTGGGATTCAAAAATTTTTAGTACCAGTTCTGGCTTGGTGGGCGTCGCAGGGGAAGGATACAGGGAAATCCCTGTTCCCTTCCCACCCCACTCACCTGCTCTTCTGTGCAGGGCAACCAAAGAAGACCCAGCCGATCAGCTGGGACTCAATGGGAGGCAGAGAATAGATGGGGTTGGCGGGGCTAGTCAGAGGTGGGATTTGCCGGTTCTCCAAGCTACTCAAAATTTCCGCTACCAGTTCTCCAGAACCGGCTGAATACCCACCTCTGGTGGTGAACACTGGAAGACCATGCAGAATGATGTAATTGAGAAATATAATCTTTATTAGGCATTTTCATAGTCATCTAAAATGTATTTCTTCCTCTATTTATTTATTTATTTGGCATTACAGTGTATTCCAACTGCTTTGGAACTGATTGATTCAGCTTTGGAGGATAGCAAGGAAAACGACCTGCCCTCGGTCTTTTGTCATGAAAAACAGCAACCACAGGTGAGGTGGAAATGGAGCGAGTCCTCTTTGTGGTGGGGCGGGGACATGAAGGAACAGCAGCCAAGACCCTCCAGGAAAGAGGCAGCCCCTCCGGCTGAGCTCAGAAAGAACCCAGGATGGAAGTCGGCATTGCAAAGCCCCAGGGGCAGCTGCTAGAAAGAGGCACCCCCCCCTTCTGAGTCCCCCCTGGAGCCTGGACACAACCAGAGGCCCTGCAGCTGTGCTGAGGCCGTGTTCCCCACCTCTGAGCCGAAATCCCCAAGGAAGGGTGCAGGGATAATCTTGGGAGGGGAGTTCCCCTTTCCTACCTCTGGCCAGCTGCTGAGGCCACAGCCAGAAGGCTATCAGCTGGTTCAGGGGTGTCGATTTCATTGAGGGCTGCATCAGGGTTATGTTTGGGGGGGCCGGGGGGGCGTGGCCAGCTCGATGTCACTCATGTCAGGAGGCACCTGTGGTGGCCCGAGCCCTCTGCCAGCGAAAACGGGCTCCCTTTCAGAGTATATTTATGAACTGGAATAGAGCATGGTAACAAGATCAGCCAATGAATAGGCATAGCAACTAAGTCAGCCAATGAGGACTGTTCTGCTCTGAACCTGTAACAGGTCTGCTTCTGTTTGAGTTTGTTCCATGTTGGAGAAATCTACAACTGGTATTGTAAAATTTACTTTATAAGTTTATAAAGAAGTGAAACGAAGCCTCAGCCACCTGTGTTTAATTTTCTGGCACTGAATTTATGTTGCAATGCTCTGAACACTCCCGAGCTCCATTTTCGGTTGCAATGGCTTCCTGCAACTTTCTGCCAGTGACAACGGAGCTCGGGAGGGCCTCAGGTGGCCCTCCTGAGCTCTGTTTTCACTGACAGAGGCACTGTGGGCCAGTCCTTTGCTGTTTCCAGGGAGGCTCCGTGGGCTAGATCTAACACCCTTCTGGGTCGGATCTGGTCCCTGGCCCTTGCGTTTGACACCCCTGAGCTAGCTGGAGCCATGGGAAGTTACAGGGAGCCTCGTGTAGTGTGGCTGGCTTTACAGCCTACTGGCCAGGCAAAGAATCGCTCCAGATCTCTTTAAGTGTGGGGTGGGAATTTCCCAAGGAAATCGGGATAAAAGCAGGCAGAGAGGTCTCCTACATCAGATGGGGGGGCCCTGGGGGGGTGAGACTTGCTTTCAGGGCCATCTGGGGGCTGCCCCCTGCTAGCCAGCGAATGGATGAATTCAGGCAACTGGATACAGAAATTCCAACACCATGTCCCCATCTAGTGGTTCTCTAGATCTGTGCAGGTCAGAGGTGTGAGCCCAGCGACGACTGGGATATTTGGGGGTCTATTCAAAACAGCCTCCAAGGAGAGAATTACTATCAATTGAAACAGGAAGCTGGACAGGTGGCAAAAAAATCCCGACATTACAAAACGAAACGATGTTTTAACAGACCGATCAACCCCTGCAGTTACCAATGCTCTTGCTTGTTTCTTACTTCTGGTTTAAATATATTGCAAACCCTGTTTTTATTGCCACAATCATACCAATGTGTTTCCCACCCCCTGCCCCAAATAAATTGAAATCTTGTAAGGAAAACAATCCACAAGGCTTAATACGCTTAACCGCAGAACCACCTCACATCAAGACATGTTACATCTTTTATCAGAAGCATTTCAAAAAGGAGCGATATGTAGCCGGGGAATATATATATATATATATATATTTGTACGGAAGTTAAACTATCTGTCAATTTGGCATGAAGATCAGCATCTCCCAAGGACAGCCACCCAGAGCAACGGAGAAGACACAACGGCCGAAGGGAAGGGATTTCCAAGAGGCTTCCCCAGTGAAATCCCATCCCAGTTTTTTTTCCCCCTTCTTTCTTTGGCAAACTCAGAAGCTCCTGGGGAGACCAGGGGAAGTGGCTTCTGTCCCTTGGTCTTGCCTCCCAGCCTGAAGCGGAGGGAACTCTGCTGTTGGCTTCCTTGCTCCAGGGGGGGTGAAAGACCAGGGATGGGGAGCTGCTGGCTCAGCTTCTGTGGCCAATTCCCTGTGTCCACCGCTGCCTTCGGCCAAGATCTGTCTGTGATGCATCAGGCACAGCAAGACCCCTTCTGCCTCCACTCCAGGCTAGCAGAGCCAGATGCTTCTGCTTCCCCTTCACGTTGGCAGGAGGCCCTCTGAGCAATGGCATTGTGATGGCAAACCTATGGCCTGCGTGGAACACGGAGCCATTTGTGCGGGCACACGAGCCCTAGCCAAACTTACCTGCACTGCGCATGCGTGCGCCTCCCAGCTGATTTTCAGCCTGTTTGAGGCCATTTTCATCCTCCCAGTGGCTCAAGGGAAGCTTCTGCGACCTTGGGAGGCCGAAAAACGGGCCTTCTGGAAATGCCGAAATGGGCCCTTTTTTCAACCTCCAAAGGCTGCAGAGGCTTCCCTCAAGCCCCCGGGAGGGCAAAAATGGCCTTCCCTGGGCTCCAGAGGCCCCCTGGAGGCTGAAAACAGGCACTTCCTGGTATTTCCAGAAGGCCCGGTTTTCGGCCTCCTGAGGCTGCAGAAGCTTTCCCTGATCCTCCAAGAGGGCGGAAACGGCCTCAAATGGACCGATAATCAGCTGGGAGGCACGCGTAGTGCAGGTAAGGGGGTGGGGGGTGTTGTGCATGTATGGACAGGGGCGCATTGCATTATGGGTGCCGGCACGTGCGCGTTTTCGGCACACCATAACCAAAAGGTTCACCGTCACTTGCATTATGACATCCTTCTCTCACTCCACCCTCAACCAACCAGCAATCGCATGTTGTTAAATGACACCGAGAATTCTTGGAAGAGTTTAGCCATCGTTCCACAAAGCCTCCCCATGCAAGAACAGCTAACTCTCTTGGGTGGGAATGTGGACGCCCCACGAGAGGACAAGCGGGATCTTGCAAAACTTTGATCATCGGGAGTGGAAGATTTCGGAAACCCTCCATGCACAGTGCATTACCCACTTCCCTCGCACACAGCTGCGAGGAGCGACGGAAGCATCTCGACAACAAGCAGGTGTGACGACCTGGGTCTCACACACGCAAACCATGGAGAAGCGACGGAGCTGGGAAGGGGGGGGGGGCAACATATCTGCACCCACCCCTGCCCAGCCTCCCCTCCCAACGACAACAATAGAAAGTGGATTTTTCAGGGTGCCAGATGGAATGGATTCCTCCGGATTGATGCAGGAAAAGGGATCTGTGTTGAAATGGCTTGCCCAAGTATCTCCTTGTGATATTCTGGTAACCACAAGCTTGGAAGCCAACTGAAACACTCCCCATTTTGTTTCAGCTTCTGCTGAAGCCTGACGGTTGAAAAATAAACCTAACGGCACCTCTCGTTCAGAGTCGCATGGAAAATGAGGCCATTTACATATGCAATCTTGGTTATCTCTTAAATGTATCAAGTCCTTGTCCAAATGAGTAGAGAAACAGATGATGATGAAGATGATGGTTTGCTACATGCAGCTTCTGGGAAGCCGGTCCCCCTAATTATTCCCTCCCCGCCTCGATGGGCAGAGGGTGGTACCCTGGAATTGCCACGGATCCTCCAGGCCGGGTGCCCCCAAACTTGGCCACTTTAAGACGTGTGGACTTCAACTCTCAGAATTCTCCAGCCAGCCATGGCTGCTTTCTCTCTCTCTTAATCTCCTAAAGTGGGGAGAGATTGCAGAGGAAGGGATTAGAAGAGAGTAAACTATGCTGGCTGGAGAATTCTGGGAGTTGAAGTCCACACGTCTTAAAGTGGCCAAGTTTGGGGACTCCCGCTCCAGGCCAACCTCCGCAGAGCCCCAGAGGGACCTTCTGGTTCTGATCAAAAGCGAATGACGTTAGGACTCCGGATCGATCGATCTCTCTAGCCACACGCATCCACACGGTAACACACACGTGCGTTGCGTAACCAGAGGGAGGTACGGGCGCCCTCAGTAAAGCGGTTTGCTCTTTTTGCCGATCTTGGATTTTGCGTTCACCTTCCGGGCGATGTTGTTGGCTCCCTCGGCCTTCTTCTGGGGCCTCCCCGTGTCCCAAGTGCAGCCTTCCGCGGGTTCATGCAGCCACTTGATGGGGTGGGGGCCACCTCCAAGTCTCTCATCCTTGGCTTTCTTCAGGAAGAGCCGCCCTTTCTGAAGCGAATGAGGTTTGGGGTCAGGGGGACTACCAGGACTGTTTGGGTACCCCCAGCTGTAAACGGGAAGGAGAAACAGAGGGAGAGAGAGGGAGAGAGAAACCGAGGGAGGGAGGGAAAGAGAAAGAGGGAGGGAGGGAGAAAGAGAGGGGGAGACGGAGAAAAGGGGAGAGGGAGAGAGAAACAGGGAGGGAGGGAGAAAAAGTGGGAGAGAGAAAAGGGGATAGGGAGAGAGAAACAGAGGGAGGGAGGAAGAGGGGGAGGGAGAAAGAAAAAGAGTGGGGAAGAGAGAGATGGGGGGAGATAGAAAAGGGGAGAGGGAAAGGGAGAGAGAGAGAGAGAGAATGAATGAATGAATGAATGAATGAATGAATGAATGAATGAATGAATGAATATGAGTGTCAGGTCTGGTAAAGGGAACCCACAAACGGAAAACGTAGTTTTAGCAGCCCAAGCTCAGACACCCACCCACCCACCCATCCCCACCCCCGTAGGAAGGGGAGGGAAGGTCATACATACAGGCACCTGGCTTTCTTGAAAGATGACAGATCTGTAAACTAAAACAAGGAAGAATTTGTTAAGGCTGACCCGAACCGATACTAAATCAATCGTTATTGATCGATTATTGCGATCCTGTGTTCTTGCACGTAGGTGCAAATTCTTCTGAGATCAATCGATGACACCGCATAGTAAACATTAATCAGCTGAAAAGACCCCGATCGAAATTTGCCTAAATGGAGCAAACGTCACTTCCTGGAGGAAGGTCTCCACAATCTCCTTCTGGAATGTTCTCCAGCCTGGCCTGGTTGCAGGCTGGTGAGTTTCAGGGGGTCTTACTGTGGCTGAAGGAGGTTTTTCCAATAAAATCTTGAAGGAAACTAGGATAAGGATGGTCACTTCCTGCAGGCACACACACACGCACACTAACTGCACAGATTTCGCCTGTATCCAAAGTGCCACCAGCAGAAAACCTTTTCCTCCAGAAATAAGGTGGACATTCATTTCCATCTCTTTAAAAGTGGGTCCAGCCACACCATGAAGGATAAACTTCTCTCTGGCCGCCAGTTATGCCACTGATCTGACCCAGCTTCCCAAACACGACAAACCCTCTAAGGTGAACTCAAAAGATTCCTTTATTAGGAATGCCGGCAGCTCTAGCAAAAAGTTTCTCTCATCCAGAAGGTGAATAGTTGTCTGCCACACCTATTCATCTCCACCTTCTGCCTTTTATCCCCAGAGCTAAGGTGAGGCCCCATTAGCAGTGGTAGCTCTTCCATCCCAAGGACCGGCCCATAGATTTCCACTGCTCTCCTCTCCTCTGCCTTCTGTGCATTTATGCGTCAGGCACTGGACCCAGCGGTTCCTCCTCTTCCTCATCAGCTACCTCCAGACCTGGGGACTCTGAGGGCTGACGGACGGCCCAGGCTCCATCTCTCTCTTCAAACTTGGCACGTTTAAGACTTGTGGACTTCAACTCCCAGAATTCCTGAGCTAACATGACTGGAGGAGGAATTCTGGGAGTTGAAGTACGCCAGGCTTAAAGCTGTCAAGTTTGAAGACGCCCCCCTGCTTTGGAGCGTCCGCTCACCAGATGTTGGTCGAGGTCTCCAGAGCTGCCCAGCAGATGCTGATGCTGGTACTTCTCCAGCTGCTTCTCCGCCTGGTCAACCCGCTGCAGCAGGTTCTCGATGAAACGCTCCAGTCGGGCTTTCCCACGGACCTCCTTCTCAGCCGCTTCCTCCAGGAAGTGATTAAAGGTCACGACCTCCCTGCAAGGGCAACAAGGCAGCTATGCTGGGACTGGTGGGGGGGTGCAGATTGGTGGCACCCACTGAGCGGCAAAAGCAGCAGTGCCCTCCTGGTCCACCCACAGCCCACCGCGGATGCCAAGCGACCCAGGATTGGCAGCGGGACAGGCTGGGGCACTCATGATGTTGTTGGCATCAAACAAGCTTGGCTCCTCATTGAGGTCTTTCTCCCCAGAGAGAGGAGAGCAGCCATGAAAGCTCCTTGTGCTCGGAATCTGCACTCGGCTCCTAAACCTCTCTCCCGTGGCGGGATTCAAAATTTTATATTACTGTTTCTGTGGGCATTGCTTGGTGGGTGTGGCTTGGTGGGCATTGCAGGGGAAGATTACTGCAAAATTCCCCTTCCCTCCCCACTCTTGGAGGAAGGTTACTGCAAAATCCCCATTCCCTCCCGACCCCACTAACCTGCTTTCCAGCTCTGTTCTCCTGTGCAGTGCAACAAAAGAAGACCCAGCCAATCAGCTGGGACTTGGGAGGCAGAGAATAGATGGGGGTGGGGCCAGTCAGAGGTGGTATTTGCCGGTTCTCTGAACTACTCAAAATTTCTGGTAATGGTTCTCCAGAACCGGTCAGAACCGTCTGAATACCCACATCTGTCCCAGAGATGCTTTTTCAAGAGGCAACTAGACTTCCTTTTTTTTCCTTTGAAGATGTTTAACTTCTCATCCAAGCAGCTTCTTCAGCTTTGACTGGGTGGGATCCTTCCATTCCCCTCCATGCAGCCAGAGCTGAAGAAGCTGCTTGGATGAGAAGTTAAACATCTTCAAAGGAAAAAAAAAACAGGAAGTCCAGTTGCCTCTTGAAAAAGCACCTTTGGGGCCCTCCTCCCCTGATGACTCTAGGCATGGGGTCTGATGCAAACTTGGAGCTACAGATGTGTGGCAGGGGAAGGTTATTGCAAAATCCCTGTTCCCTCCTCACCCCACTAACCTGCTTTCCAGTTCTGTTCTCCTGTGCAGGGCAACCAAAGGAAACCCAGCCAATCAGCTGGGTCTTGGGAGGCAGAGAATAGATGGGGGGTGGGTGTCGGAGTATATTCATGAACTGGAATAGAGCTTAGTAACAAGGTCAGCCAATAAGAGCTGAATTGAGGGCTGAAACTTAAAGAGAGAATCTGGGCGTGGTTTATCTCTGTTCTGTCCTCAGCTCTAAAGTGAAGGAGAAACTAACTAACTTGCTTGCTCGCTTGCTAAAACTAGAGCTCTGCTCTGAACCTGTAACATGTCTGCTTCTGTTTGAGTCTGCTCCATGTTGGAGAAATCTACAACTGGTGTTGTAAAGTTTACTTCATATGTTTATAAAGAAGTTAAACGAAGCCTCAGTCATCTGTGTTTACTTTTCTGGCACTGAATTTACGTTGCAATACTCTGAACAGTGAGGCCAGTCGGAGGTGGGATTTGCCGGTTCTCCGAACTACTCAAAATTTTCACTACTGGTTCTCCAGAACCAGTCAGAACCAGCTGAATGCCCAGAACCTCTGGGTCTCTCCCTGGGAGGCTGCAGCAGACTTTCGAGAGGAGCCATCAAGCGAAGGGGTGCTCCAGGGCCTTTTGGGGTTTCCTCCCATGCTGTTTTTTGGGGGGGCTAGGCCAGCCGAGCAGAGGAAGGGAATGCAGAGGTGGGGGGCCCAGCGAAGCCCTCCGGCATAGGCAGAAGCCGCTCTTCCAAGGCCCACCCAAATAGCTAGGTCAGTGGTGATTAACCTTTTTGGGCTCCTGTGCCAAAAATTGCATGCACTCCACTCGCGTGCCAGAATGCAATGCGTGCGCCCCTCCCCACATCCCTGTGCATGTGTGTGCAATTCCCCTCCCCCCGCCGCCCCCTTACCTGCATTGTGCCTCATAGCTGATTTTTCGGCTGATTTGAAGCCTTTTTCGGCCTCCCAGAAGCTTTTCAGGACAAATTATAGGCCCGTTTCGTCACTTCTGGTATGACAGGAAGTGACAAAACAGGCCTATAATTTGTCCTGAAAAGCCTTGCAGAGGCTTTTTCCAAGCCTCTGAGAGGCCAAAAAAGGCTTCAAACCAACCGGGGAAAAAAAAAAGAGCTGTGAGGCGCGCGCATGCGCAGTGAGGTAAATTTGCCTGCGGCTCGCGTTCCAGTACAAATGGCTCTGCGTGCCACTTGTGGCACGTGTGCCATATGTTCGCCATCACGGAGCTAGGCTCTTGTGGCCAGCTTGGGACCACCGGCAGATCCCTGGGGGGGGGGGGAAGAGTGGGGAGGCCCCAGGCCAGGGCATTTTTTAAAACTTCATGTACATCTGGGCTGAGGAATTGTGGGGGAAACAGAAGCCAGCTGTTCTGCAGAAAAAAACCCCCGAAGCCTCTAATGATATTCCCCAGCTTGGAATATTCTCCCACTGGAGGGGAGATCTCTCCCCCCTCCCAGCTTCTGCAAGATCCTAAAACTTGGCCAGGCTTTGTCTTTGCTTTCTCCTCCTCTTCTGATTGGGGAGTGGGGGGGATGGCATGCAAAGCAGGCAGAGTGTTTGATTGGCTGCAGGCGCCACATCTCAGGGTGTCAAGATATGTGTATTTGCCATTCTTCAATGCAAGAAGAAAGGGGGTGAGTTAGTACAAGTAATCCTTTTGGATGTAACCTCAATATTTTAAGTCTTGTGCTGAATCTGTATAACTTGCACATGATATACAACTGGAGGACTGGAGCCCAGACGCCTGGAAACATGCCACCTCTTGGAGAGATAGCAGAGAAAGGAGAAGGGGACATACAAATTCCAGCTCCAGAAGAAACTTCCTGGGAAACTTTTCTAAGCTAGGTTCCCAGAAAAAAAAAGGGGGGGAATTAACTTGTTGCTTCTTTGTATTGACTAAATCCACATCAGAGTAAGGGGAGGGGTTCTAACTCCTTTTATCTATTACTGTATGCCTGGAGGCATATTAGACCCTGCTTTGACTAGTACCTGGGTAACTTCCTTTTCACAATAAATAATTCCTCTTGAAGTAACCAGTCTTTCAGAAGTTCATTCTTATCCTTTGAAGGGAGAGAGTCTGGGCCTTACACAGAGACTGAGCCTTAGTGGACAACCTATTAAATACGAGCCAACTGTGTGCGGCGGCAGCCAAAACAGCCGACGCAATCCTGAGTTGCATTAACAGAGGGATACAATCAAGATCAAGGGAGAAACTAACACCACTTTAGTAAGGCCACACCTAGAGTACCGCATCCAGTTGCCTTCACTGGAAGAAGAGATTGGACTGCCCTTTGTCAGAAATGGTGTAGGGTCTTCTATTTGGGGGTTGGACTAGATGACCTAGAAGGTCCCTCCCCACTCTATTAATCTGAAGGTCCCAGCTGATGGGTCAGGTTTGGCCCGTAGCTTGTCCTCAGAATCCTCAGCCAAGGATCGGGGGAAAAACTTCTCTTGAGAGGGCAATTGCACACAACCCTGTTTTCATTTGCTTAGTTACCTGCTTTGCGTCAAGTTTCAACCTTTGGGACCTCTCCTTGGCAACAGATCCCTTGGGGTGGGGGGATCCACCTCTTCTCACAAAGGCTCACATGCAGCTAGGTGGCCTTGCAGGCAGGGCCCTGAGTGAAATGCAGCCATGTTTGATCTGGTTTAAAATTCACAAAAAGTAGAAATTGGGATGGGAAGGAAGCCAGGATGAAGGGCTTTTGAAGGACTTTCTCTGGCTCAGCCATGAGGAGGAGGGGTCTCCCACTTCTCCCATTGCAGTCCTTGCCTGGACTGCTGGGTCTTTGGAGAGGAGCTCATACATACAGATTAACAGGGTTGGAAGGGACCTTGTAGGTCATCTAGTCCAACCTTCCCTACCCAAGTAGGAGACCCTACACCATTTCTGAAAGAGGGTAGTCCAGTCTCTTCTTGGAAGCCTCCAGGGATGAAGCTCCCGCAACTTCCAAAGGCAACTTCTGTTCCATGGGTTGATTGTTCTCACTGTCAGAAAGTTTCTCCTTATTTCCAGGTTGAATCTCTCCCTGTTCAGTTTCCATCCATTATTCCTTGTCTGGCCTTCGGGTGCTTTGCAGAATAGCTTGACCCCTTTCCTCTCTGTGGCAGCCCCTCAAATATTGGAAGACTGCTTTCCTGTCTCCCCTGGTCCTTCTCTTCCCTAGACTAGCCAGGCCCAGTTCCTGCAACCGTTCTTCATTATGTTTTAGTCTTCAGTCCCCCTAATCATCCTGGTTGCTCTTCTCTGCACTTTTTCTAGAGTCTCAACATTTTTATAATGTGGTGACCAAAACTGGATGCAGTACTCTAGATGTGGCCTTACTCAGGCTTTATAGAGTGGGATGGGTGCACGGAGAAATGACTGCATAGTACCCTGTTTCTCCAACAATACGGCCTCCCCCAATAGGAAGTCCCAGCATGTTTTACAGGCATGAAATGAAATTAAGCCCCTCCCCCCCCCCAAATTAAGGCCTATATTAAAACATGCGAAATGGTGGGGAATGGTGGGGGGGGGCTTGCAGTTAGGAAGTACTTTTGTTGCACACCCGGATATGGTGCTGCCTGCGTTGACCCCAATACGAAGTGCCCCACCAACGCCGAGGTCAACATCCAAGCTGTCGCCGCCTGCCCACCCAAAGATGCAGGGGGGGGGAATTAAGTCACCCCCGAAAAGACGGCCTAGCCATTTTTTCGGGGCTCAAAAAAAAAAAAGACCCGGCCTTATTATATGAGAAACACGGTATTAATATTGGTAATTTACTTTCGGGTAAAAACTGGGCTGCCTTTTTCGACCAGCTAGCACATGGGTGGGGAGACCTTCCCCCACCTGCTCCCCTCCCCCAGTAGCCCTCTCCAGCAGCAGGGTCAAGGCATGAGGTTGGGAAGGAAAGCTACTGCCCTCTCGGACATGAGCTCCCCTTCCTGCTCCTCTTCTGACTTACTCCTCCTTGCGGTGCAGCTCCTCCTCTGACTCGGTGAGCCGCTGCTGCAGCACCGCGATCATCTCCACCGCCACGTCCACCTGCCGGTTGAGCGCCCGCTCGCGGCGCTGCACCTGTTGCTTCCTCTGTGAGAGCTGCACGAAGGCTGCCCGGACCTCCAGGAGCTCGGCTGTCTTCCGGGAGAGCTCCCGGGAGAGGTTCTCAATCCGCCTCTCGATGGTCTTGTCCACGGCTTCCACCATGTGGTTGAATTTCTCCCGGACGTGGGCCTCGAAGGACGCGCCGGAGTCCACGGCCTTCCAGGTGGGGTCCCAGGCCGTCTCGGCCGAGGCCGGGCCCGTTCCCAGGCCAGCCGGCCATTCCGCCTCTCCCACCAGGGGCCTCCTGGGCGGAGGCTCTTCCGGCTCGCAGAAGTCCAGGTAGGAGAGCCGTGGCTTCAGGACGCCGTGGCTGCCCACATCCCGGAAGGTTCCCTGAGTCTCGGGGTGGTGGGAGGAGGTGGCCCGGACACCCTTGAGGGGAGAGAAGAAGCCACCTTGGGGCCGGAGGCTTCGGTCTTCGAAGGCGTGGCTGTACTCCAGGTGGGCCCTCAGGGAGGACAAGCTCCTAAACCGGGCGTGGTCCCCGCACCGTGGGCAGCGGAAGGGCATGTGGGCCCCGGCATGGTCCAGTGATTCCTGCCACGTGGATTTGCTGTCCTCAAAGGCCTTCTGTTGCATTCCTTTCCCAGTCCTAGCGGTCAGGGAGGAAGCAGGGAGAGGTTAGCGAGGCTCTTCTCGGCCAGGAAACATTCTGGACTACAGATCCCATCCCCGGGGCAAGGGCAGAGTCCTGCTGGCTGCAGAGAGAGCCCATGCAAGAGTGGCCAGCACTTTCAGAGAGCCCCAGATTGGAGGAAGGAGCTGCCTCTCAGCCACCCCAACATCCCTGAATTTTGCCCCCACTTAGCAAACTCTTGAGCAGGGGGGTCCCCAAACTTGGCAACTGATAAGACTTGTGGACTTGTCATGCCCCTGTCGGGGTCTGAATCCGAGGAGGAAGCCAGACAGCTGACAGGGAGTGTGAGTGTGGCTCTGTTGGCTATGGCGGAGGCTGGGGAAAGGCAAAGTCCAGCTGGGCAGAGCAGGGAAGAGGTAGAACAAGAGAGAGGAAGTTCAGAGCCCACCCCCTCTTCATCCTAGGGCATGCAGGGAGGAATGTAGAAGGGGGCAACATGGGTTGCATGGCTTACAGGGGAGGAAAGGGCCCTGATTCCCTTCATTAGCCACACCTGGGAAGAGAGTTGATAAGAAAGGCAGGCTGTCTGCGGCAGGCTGCTGGGAACAAAAGTGACTTTAATCCTGTGTTAATGAGGCTTATCCGTGTTCCTGGTGTCTTCCCAACTGTGTGAGTTTTGCTGTGCCTTTATATCTGGAATTCTTGCTCCTGCCGTCGAACTAATTACTTCAGTTTGGTTTGTTTGGACTTTAAGTTACAGTTTGTGTGTCCCTTGTTTTGGACTTGATTCTCTGCAGTCAAAGGCTGTTCCTAGGAGAGTTTTTCTCCAGCTGAAGGTAACCTGGACATTGGGGGGCAAAGTTGGGAGATAATAAAGGGACTCTTATTGCTTATCTGACGGTGTTGCCTTTGTGTCATCACAGGAATGCTGGGAGTTGAAGTCCACACGTCTTAAAAGTTGCCAAGTTTGGAGACCCTTGCTTTTGAGGGAAGCCAATTCACAGGAACTCACCTGGATCCAGGTAGGTCAGCCTCTCCATCCGGTGCCTTCCTTCCTTCCCTCCAACAGGGGAGCTTTTCTGAGACCTGGGTGCAAGGACCCAGTTGGGAAGGGGGGAGGGACAGAGGGAGGGGCTGCTCTGCATTCAGCCTCAGGGGCCGCTCCTGTTGGGCGTTGTGACGGGGCCTTGTGAGGGTCCCAGCACTGGGCTGGGGTGTGTATGTGATGTGGGGGGGGGGGGGGGGGGGGGGAAACACACCTTCTTTGAGAGGGAAGGGGGTTTCCAAAGGGCGCCAATGCTTCACGGGGGAGGGGGCTCAGCTAAAACCCCTCTGGGACAGGGGCAGCAGCCCCCCCTCGGCCAGGGGATCCCCTCCCGAGGCGCCCGGAAACCCTGCTCGCCTGTTTGAGGAGGGGGCGGTTTATATTTAGCCTTAAGGCGAAGAAGCCTCTTTAGGCCTCGGGTCCTCGAAAGGGATCGGAACCGGGGAGGGGGCGGCGTTGCTGAAAATATCTGGCCAAAGCAGCCACGGGGCGGGGGGATGACGGCATCCCCCACACTCCCCAGAGCCCAAGAGGGCTGTCGATGCGGAACAAGGCAGGCCTTTTGCGGGTGGGGTGGGGTGGGTGTCTCTCTCTCCCCACCCCCGGCAATCCCCAGTCTTGCGAGGCCGCTTCCCCGCAGGGCCACGTAGAGCCCGCGAATCGAGGGGTGCGCCGCTGCCCTCGAGGTATCCCAGCCTCCTCCCCGGGAGGGCTTCCCGGGCGCTGGCTTTCCGCCCAGCTCCTCGAATGACGTCAGGCTCGAGCCGGCGGGACCCCGCGGTGGGAAAGGCGGCGTGCCCACCCCGGCCCGCCTCTTCCAAAGGTCGCCCGTTCAGTGCCGGGCACCGCCTTCGCCTTCTCCCCCCGCACCCCCCACCTCCAGCCAGGCCGATCGCTGCGTCCCCACCCCCTGCAACTCACTCACCTCCGGAGCGGCGACGGCGGCGGCTGCTGCAGTCCCGCCGCGGCTGCTGCCCCTGCCCGCCTCCCTCCGGGCGCCCCCGCGGTCCTCCAGCCGCGCCTCCTGCGCGCCGTTCATCCGAGGCTGCGGGGGAAAAAAAAACACCCCAGTTTTCGGCAGAGTCGTAAATCACGGCGGAGCGACGCGCTCCCAAGTCGTCGCCTGCCCCCCCCCGCCCCCTCCGCCCTGCTGCGGAGCGAGGACCGAGCCGTTTCCAAGGCTCCGGAGCCGCAATTAGCCTTTTGCTCCCTACGATTAGATGAGATTAGATGAACAGAGTTGGAAGGGACCTTGTAGGTCATCTAGTCCAACCCCCTGCTCAAGCAGGAGACCCTACACCATTTCTGACAGGTGGCAGTCCAGTCTCTTCTTGAAAGCCTCCAGGGATGAAGCTCCCACAACTTCCGAAGGCAACTTCTGTTCCATGGGTTGATTGTTCTCACTATCAGAAAATTCCTCCTTTATTTCTAGGTTGAATCTCTCCTGGTTCAGTTTCCACCCATTTTTCCTTGTCTGGCGCAAATGCTCAGTGTACGTAGAAGAAAAGATACATTCGTCAAGAATCATCAGGTACAACACAATGATAGTCATAGGGTGCAATAAGCAATCAAATCATACTAGGAAACACTCCATATAAATCATAAGGATACAAGTGACAAAGTTACAGCCATACAGTCACAAGTGGGAGAGGGGATGGGTGATAAGGAGTGATGAGAAGATTAATAGTAATAGTAGTGCAGACTTTGTCAATAGTTGAACAGTGTTGAGGGAATTATTTGTTTAGCAGAGTGATGGCATTCAGGAAAAAACCGTCCTTGTGTCTAGTTGTTCCGGTGTGCAGTGCTCTATAGCGTTGTTTTGAGGGAAGGAGTTGAAACAGTTTATGTCCGGGATGTGAGGGGTCTGTAAATGGACCTATTCAGCTCAAAGGGTACAAAAATAGTCTTAAGTACTCTTGATTCAAACGACTCCTTAAGTCTACTCAAGGCATGATATTGGACTGAAAAGACTATTATAAAAGACTTCATTATACTACTTGCAAGCCATCTAAACTGCCATATTAATAATGTGTCTGGGCACAGTAATTCTATGGCCTTACTGAAGAGTAAGAGAAGGTCCCAGATAGGGCAGTGGGCCACAGTAGAGGTATCTTTAGGGCAGCTCAAAAAACCACAATATGGAAATACAGGACAGAAAAGACTGTGATCGGGCTGGGGGCAAAACCAATTAAAGCTGAAGAACGATTGCAGGAACTGGGCCTGGCTAGTCTAGGGAAGAGAAGAACCAGGGGAGACAGGATAGCGGTCTTCCAATATTTGAGGGGCTGCCACAGAGAGGAGGAAGGGGTCAAGCTATTTTCCAGAGCACATGAAGGCCAGACAGGGAATAATGGATGGTAACTGATCAAGGGGAGATTCAACCTGGAAAAAAGGAGAAACTTTCTGACAGTGAGAACAATCAACCCATGGAACAGAAGTTGCCTTTGGAAGTTGTGGGAGCTTCATCACTAGAAGCTTCCAAGAAGAGACTGGACTGCCATCTGTCAGAAATGGTGTACTTGGGCTTGGAGGGGGTTGGACTAGATGACCCACAAGGTCCCTTGTCTCTGGAGATTTTCCCAAGAGGCAACTGGACAGAAGACATTTCGCTTCTCAGCCCAGAAGCTTCTTCAGCGATAAGGTCCCTTCCAACTCTGTTAATCTGAATGAATGGGCTTATTTGGCAGGCTTCGAGGCTCCCCTTCCTCACCTGGTTCTGAGCAGGAGCCTCTTCTTAAGACACCCCAAGAAGCAGGGTGTGGGGCGGGGGGGGGGGCTTTCGCCCCCCCCCCCCCCCCCCCCCCGCCTGGGGGGGAGGAGGAGGAGGAGGAGGGAGTTCCTATGACCCGCCCAAATCAGCCACCAGGCCTGAGAAATCCCAGCACTTGCTTCAGCCTCTGGGCACCAGTTGATTTCTTTTTTTTCAATTTATGTTTTATTTTTATTCATAAACATTTTGAATACAGTGTATCGTCAGGGCAGTTCATTTACAAAGTAGCCAAAAGAAAACAAATAGAGAAATAAACATATATACTAATAACAATAATGATAATGTAACAGAGTGATTTTAACTGAATTTCTCTTTGTGTCAACTTATTTGTAATCCTGATAGTTATCTCAACATGTTTATAATTATAAACCCTCTTTATATTTGATTCATTCATAACAGTAATCTTCCTTCACCTAATTTTTACCTTTTCTCTCTAACCAGTCATAAAATCTATTCCATGTTTAAGTAATATTCTCGGTCCTTTATTTTTAATGTCAATCTATCCATGTCTGCACAGCCTAGTATTTTCCGAATTATGTCCTCATCAAATGTTCTCATTTTTCCAATATTGCACAAGAGCATTTTGTATAAGATGTTTTACAGGTGGCATCTTCCTCTGGCAAGATTAGCTAAAATGTTTAGTAATACATCCCCGAAATGTTGGAAATGCAAGCAATAACCAGGCACATATTACCACATGTGGTGGACACGCAAAAAAAAGCAAGGGAATTTTGGCGACAGATCCAGATGTGGTTAGAAAAAATGGTGGGACAACAGTTAGAATTCAAGCCAGAACTATTTGTACTAGGAATTACAACAGGGGCTTTAGTAAAGGGTCAATATATTTAATACTACACATTCTGACAGCAGCAAGAATGGGATATGCCCAGCAATGGAAAAGTGAAAATACACCTTCAGAAAGGGATATAATAAAGAAAATACTGGTTTGAGCAGAACTGGATAGATTAGAACTAAAAAAATAAAGGGGAGACAGAATACTATGATACATGGAATAGATTTTACCAAATGGTTGAAGAGGTGGAACATAAAATAATTAGGCTAAGTAGACCCAGAATGTGACATTATATATGTACCAAAATGAGTATATTGGTCAAAAATAACTGTACAAAACTAGCAATGTATAAATATATTATCTGTCTTTTATTTCAGTGTGTATGGCGGAGGAAATGCCAGGAAGGTTACATTGTGTTCAATGTTGTATCTTTTCTTTTATGTATACTGAGAGTACTTACACCAAGACGAATTCCTTGTGTGTCCAATAAAACTTGGCCAATAAAAATCCTATTCTATTCTATTCTGTTCTGTCCTGTCCTGTCCTGTCCTGTCCTATTCTATTCTATTCTAGTTTATATATGTAAATAAAAATTACATATTGAAAAATTACACTTCCAGGCCCATCAAATGCCAACTTGGGCAGAAGGTTTGATTACATGACCTACAAGTTCCCTTCCAACTCTGTTAATTTGTATTAAAAATAAAAATAAAAAACCTTAATAACAAAAAAAAATTCCGGTTTGGCTCCAACCCGCTTTTTTCTCTCCCCGCCCCCCCACCCAAGAAGCGCCAGAGATTCGGACGTGTCCCCAAAAAGAGGGAGGGGGGCGTCGGGAGAAGCCGAGCCAGGCGAGGGAAAGGAGGCCACCGGGCGATCGCAGCAGAGCCCGGGGGTAGAAGCGCGGTCCCTCAGCCTCTCTGGGCTTGCGGGCGAGCGGGGCGGGGCGAGCGGCCGAGGCGGGAAAAACGAAGGCGGCCATGGCGGAGCCGGGGCGAGGCGGGGCGGCGGTGAGAGAAAGAGGGGAGGCAAGGGGAGGAGGCCGGGCCGGCGCTGCGGAGGCCCGGCTGCCGGGAACCCGCGGGGCTCGGACGGAGCTGGAGGGCGGCCCCGGCCTGCTCCTCCCGCGGGGGACATTTTAGGGCCGGGGTCTCCAACCTGGGCCGCTTTAAGCCTGGCGGACTTCAACTCCCAGAATTCCCCAGCCA